TTAGCATATATTGATATGGCCTATCGCTAATGATCAATTATTTTCATAAAAGAAACATTATATCATGCACCTAGAATCCCCTGGAATTCGCCCCTACCCTGCGTCTAAAGATCTAATTTACCAGCCAGGACCTAATCTGTGATTATTTCCCGCAGCGCACCTGTGTACACAGCTTCAGGTTGGTAACCAGTACTATACAGATGCTAGAAGAAATACTGGGACAATCAGTACCGATGTGTCGCACGCGCACCATTAGTATTACAGTTGCTATATCACGAAAAATTTCGTCCGTTCTGAGTGCATGAATAAACCGGTCCGAGTCAGCTTGAGGCTATGGCCACGGAAACCACGATATAACAGCCAGATATGGGGCACAGACACACGGGAAAAAACAAAGCCCGTTATATGAGAGGAGCGTACGAGTGAAGGAGGAGCAGAGAGAAGCAGGGGATAACACACGATGCGCGTCGATCGAGGAAGTTTAGAAGGACCGGAAATTCCCCCGGGAGCAGACCACGACTAAAACCAGTTGTAACATTTGATTGCGGAAAATCCAAATTAGCCGTGCTTATTTGTACGCTTTATTTGCGAAGCAGTCATCTTCCTTTCTCCACTATCATCGTCATGGGCGTTAAAGCTCAGCGCTCATCGATCATCATAGCTCATCGCCAGTCATTCATAAGTAGGACTGTAAAGCTCCGACAGCGTTTGGATATCCTCAGTCGAATTCTGAATCAGCCCACAAGGACCGGGCATTTTCAGGACGTTTCATCCATAACCTCTCGCATAGCATCCGCAGAGACTTTTTATCCACAGAGGACTCCGCAAATTGTCAACATTATAACACTTTAAACAGTTTGGAGCTCTTAGTTGTACAATAATTCTATCAATTCTAATACTAAACAGGATCTTTCAAATTCCTCCCGCTGTGATACGAATACTGATGTTATGTCAAAACACTAACAGCGGGGAATTCGCCTGAACAGCCATACTGCGTCCCTTTTGGAAGCCGCTCAATGATGAAACCCGAGTAGGGTCCAAAATTTTCGCTTTCACCCAGAAAGTCTTTACGCACGTTAAGTCTGCGAACCACTTGCCCCCGGTTTTGATGCTCCTTCCCGATCAGTTGTCAAGCGCATTTTAGATAACCCGTACCTTGATGGCTCCTCTGGGTATCTCCGAGATTCATTTCCGGGAACATCGCTACTAGTGATAGTTATAAAGTGGTGTATCAGTTTCACGGACTTAGAAGCTACCGCGTCTCTTTCTCTCTGCAAACACAAAGGACCGCCAAGGAGAAAGTGGATTCCTACACTCGTGGTAGGGTTATCGATTTCAATGAACGCACTAATTACTTTGGAAGAGCAAAAGAGCTCCCTCGTCTCTTCCGTCGTCGATATTGCTGTAAGTGTTTTTTACATCCTATTCGATGGGTTTCCTTGGTTTAACAAGGGGCTCTTTCGTAAGGTCCCTGTTTTCTTCTATGGTGAGCTTCGTCGTCCTCTGCACCGCATCATTCGACTATACAATTTATTCAGGCCTGTACAGTACTCTATATGGCACTTGTATCGTTATCCTCAGACAAAATAAGCGGCCACATAACGTTCGGTACATCATTGGAATAACCTTTCTCTTCGTACTTGCCACCGCTTCAGTCTTCATCAACTCTGCACTTGCCACCCTGGATGCATTTTATCTGTTTGAATTGAGAAGGATGGGACAAACTCCGTCTCTGCCGATCTACGAATTAACGTATGTTTTTTTCTTCTCTTTCGATACACCTGATTGATGACTGACACGCGATCCAGTCGTGGTTCACTTTCGCTTTATATACTCTCCAAGTACGTTTCAAGCACCTGCTGAGGTCGGAGGCACTTTTTCTTATAGATATTAGCCTCATAGCAGATACTTTCCTAGTACGTCTCTCAGTTCGTTCCTACCCAGGCCTATTTATCAAATCGTATACTCAGTTAACCCGATGCTACCTTATCTGGAACCGACGTCTGTCGGTGGTACTCTTCCCTATACTGCTTTGTCTAGCATGTAACGGTAAGATTGTAATCCCTATCGTCGTCCACCTTTCGTTAACGCAAAAAGCATAGCGGTCGGTATGGTATATATATGGTCTCCCATGGATGACTTTACGGCCATTTTTCCGGGGGACAACGGTGCGTTTAACTTTTTTTCCATCCATGCTTTGTCTTTTTCACAGAGGAATCAGATGCATTGATCAAGTTCGCCTTGCCATTTATTGTACTCGACGTTTGTAGCAACCTATTGCTCACCTTTCTGATCGGTTAAGATGTTTCCTTAGTATGTGGTTCATATACTGAATACTAGGTTGTTTTTTTTTGCAGCCGGAAGAGTCTTTTGTGTGGTCCGGGAAACTAGGAAGGTCGCGGCCTTTCACGGTCAGAGAATATATCGTTCTATAATCGCTATCATGTAAGTCATGGCAGCTTGAGAGTCTACAGCAGTATGGAGGACTAACTATCCTCTTGTAGCGTCGAGTCGGGCATCATATATCCTATAGCTCTTGTCACGCTGCTCTTTGTCCATAGGAACGCCGTCATTTTTTCGCTCGTTCAAATCGTTGTGAGTGATCGTTCCGATGTTTTTTCTCGTATAGTTTTCACTTGGAATCTTTTTTTTTTTTCTTGCAGGGAATCGCACCTACGCTCATCATAGTACAAGTTGGACTCGGGAATGCGTTTCATGATGTGCAGAGCTGTATAACGACCATGCGTGTCGCTTCAGGGCTTCGGGCAGAGATCGGATCTGTTACTACTAGACCTCCGAGTGGGATTGTGATTGAGATGGGGAGGACGGAAGAAGTGGATACTTCGGTGGGAATGGACGGAATGGACGGAATGATCGGAAAGCCAGATAATGCCCATCTGTCCCCGAAGGAACAGTTTCGAACGTCGCTGGTAGCTTTCGTTTGATGTCAGTGTACGCATATGGTAAGTCCGAAGTCTCCATTTAGAATTTGGTTATTCACTGACCTTCGATTTTGCGTAAGGTTATGTTATACTTTTTTTTTTATACTTATTTTACTGGAAGATTCTGGTGCCCAAGTCGTGCTGCTTTCAAGGTGTCGTCATCTCAAGCGATCGCGGCTTTCGGATACCAGGAGATGGAAAGCAGCCTCGAGCTTTTCCTAGGCTGGGACTCATCGAGGTAGCTACGTCGTGATTTCGAAAACATCGAATTTGGCAGAGCCTATTGTGCCCCTAACCTTAGGTACTCCCCTTTTTGTCAGCCTTTCTTTGGGTTATAAACGGTATCGATTGTCCGTTCATCATGATGCATGAATGCATGACTGGCCGAGAAACTTTCGATGTGGAGATACAAGTCGTTAGAGGATGACGTAATGGGGCACTGATCACCCTTCTTTTTGCGGTGCTAGTCTAAAATAAGTGAACAGGGAGGGTTACCGCATTTTTTTCGCGTTACAACCGTTCCATCTGTCCCGCCACTCTATTGACACTGCATTGACGCAGACGTCCAGTCAGCAACCACTATTGGAGGACTTCCTGCGACGTTTTCTGCAAGAAAAAGTCAAGCAATACGGCTTCGGCGTCTCATACAAGAGTCAAGCTCTTCCCAATCTTTGTAACGGTTTCATTGACTTGTGCTCTCGGGGAAACCATAGATAGCATCGCCTTATGCGCTCAGACACTTCATAGGGCTTCGTATTTGTAATGCGGCAAAGCAATATCACGCCTTCACCGGAATGATGGGTGGGGTACGACGATATATAATTGATTTCAATGATTGCCTATGCCGCCTCCCCGTCCCCTCCTCGGCAAACTCGCAATCCAGAGAGAATTTTAGCACAACGTTTGTGGACCTATATATTCTCCTACCCGGGGGCGAGCCGCAGACCCACCTTATGTTCTCGTTACTGCCGCTACGTCAAGCTCGCTTAGTAGCTGCAAGGACAGCCAGAATCCCTCGTTCCGCACGTGGGTTTTCATCCAAGGGGCCAAACGCCAATCTAGTAGTCGACAGTGGAAGCGTCAAAGTCATCACATACGACTTACTCAAACCCAAAACTCAAACCACAGCCCGGGTGAGTTGTTGATCTTTCTCTCATTTGTCTATGCGAAAACAACGGGTTACCCATCCATGCTATCTGGAACGCGGTTAGAACACGACATTGATCGACGTCCGGGAACCAACCGAAGTCCGGGGTGGCATGATACCGACTGCAGTGAACATTCCTCTCAGAGCTCTCCATGACTCTTTGAAGTATTCTCCCGAAGATTTTAGGAAGATGTATGGTGTCGCGAAGCCGGGAAGGAGTGAGGAGATCACCTTTTACTGTAATAAGGGATTGAGGAGTCAAGTGGCGAGTGATATTGCGATACAGAATGGGTTCACAAAGTAAGTTCTCAATACCTTTTTTTCTGAAAAACGTCGTGTTGAACGATCAAACCAAGCATCCTCGACTACCGTGGGTCATGGGTTGAATGGGCAAGAAGGGAGAGGAAGAAGCGTTTCTAGGCATTGGGATTGGTCCACCCGTATGTCGAACTGTCCGCAAACTGCCTTAAAAAGTCTTACTCACGGGACATCCTAGCGTTAAGCTGTATTTTCATGTATTTTTATTCTCCACAATATTCCCTCGTCGTGAAAAAACACATCGCCTCATGATTCCTTGCAGGATTAGTTCAAACGTTACAATACCCAAGCGTTCGGGACCGGACACCCCACACACCACGACCGGGGGGTTCACAATCCTTTGGAGCATACAACACTCGAATGACTTTCCGGCGCTGGTCTACTGCCTCACGCCACTCACCCTCTACGAAACAGACGTTTCCGGGGATAATCCATTGACGAATGATACGACTGGACCAGACTTTTGTATAAATATGACGAGAACTTATGTGCACAAAAATGTTCATGGAAGGAGTCTGACATGATGTAGGGTTGTGAAGAAACCCTGTTGGGATTAGCGAGCCAACACCTCCCCCGTTAAAGCGAGAAAAAGTAGCCCACCGCGAGGGTCGAACTCGCAGCCTTCAGATCCCACCTAACGACTTATTAAGAGTCTGACGCTCTATCCGATTGAGCTAGGCGGGCACACAAATAGTATATACTTCTGTATGTCAGAATAACATTTGCGATTACACTTCCACTACTGTAACCCCTTGAGGCGCTGTATATTGTGTATGATAATGTAGAGTTATTCAACCTCTCCCGCTTCATTGCTTTGACAATTCACTGGTCACTGAAATTTACGGGATGAGTTGACCGACGGCCCGCAACGCTCATGTTTCCGAACGCACCGGGTTTGTTGCTTCTGTTTGTACCTTCCGTTAAGGATCAACTGTCACTGATTCCCAACTGATATTACTGCCTTTCCCTGCCTTCTTAATGAATCTTTCGTAGATTTTTGTTCAAATGGAAGTTTGTTCACCTGGTATCTGTCATCTGATCGTAATTTCCTAGGTAAATTTGGATACATCTTTCGAAGCTGATTTGATGCAGATCTTCTCGCCAGGAGTCGATTCGTACCCATACATGCGGTATTTTCTCTCCGTTTGCGACACCCCTCGAAACCTTCTAGAGATGTTCTGCGGATGCTGGTGTGGATTAACAACATTATCTGGTGTAACACATCACAGACCTTTCTAGAACATAGACTTTTGATGGGTGGGCCGCATGATTGTATCCATTGTATCGCGGATACTCTGATGGACATAAAAGCTCGTCAGTCTTCCTTTGACATTGATTGACAGGGTATGTAACGACTCATTCCTGTGATCTGGGTCATTCCATCAGCTGTGCGGTGAGTGGTTTGACTATAGCAAACGGCTTCCGCGACCTTTCGTCTAACGTTTCAAGTAGTGCCCTGAATCAAATCTACCTCGAGCAAACAGCTTCTTGCGATGGCTGAAATTTATCACTCTAACCCATCACAGTTGCAAGCGGCGAGTGGACGTCGATATTCCGGAGGCAAGGGGCTAGAAACCATCACATCCGTCGAACTTAATGATCCCGTCGGGTCGATGTTGTCACTCGGCTACTCTTTCTACCATATATAATGCCCTTCTCCACGGTTTTCAAGCTGCCCTCAGCATGGTCGTTACTGTCTGATTCTGTCCCGTCTGTCCTGTCTTGTCCCAGTTCTTTCCAATTCTTGATCTGAATCCTCACGGCTGGCCGAAAATTGTCTTCTCTTGCGAGCCTTGACGGCTCCCAATTCCCAGACCGGTGCTGAAGGGTTGTTGCAAACTTGAAGCCTGAAGGAGATGTAATGGTGGTCCTATCAAACCCGAATCTCCTCTTCTCAACGAATAACGTCGTTACAACCCCATACATAACTCTCACGGTGCGTTCCTCACATTATATTGACATCTGAATATCCTGTTCTAATACCCTTCTTTTTGCTTACAATAAGTTTGAGGGGGTTGTCTACGGTAATTCTCTGTCTTATTTCATCAAATAATCAAACCTTAAGTCATTTTTGAGGCCTGTATACCGTGCTCTTCGCGTTGTGCATCTACATTGTTGAAAGTTCGGCTCACCCCGTGTCGCACCTCAAACTATACACTCCAGCCTTGGTACCGTTGTACATACTCGCGACAATAGGTTTCGCCTTGAGCGTGGCGAACGCTGTTCAGACTTCTGCGCTTTATATGGATATTATCCAGGGTATTATCCAGGGGGATATCATGACATCGGTGTTCGACAGGGGACGGAAATCGATTCTTTTGAGGTATGAGGTTCACAGCAATCTTTCGGTAGCGGTTGACTCATTTTTCGCTAGTGGACTTACACATAGCACGTTCCTTCTCTCAAAGTAAGCCTTCTGAATGCCTATCAATCTTCATTGTTGCTAATTCTTCGCCGTAAGTGTGATCGTCGATGGTGTTCTGGTAGCGATTGCCCGTCTTTACCCTCACTATGATTACTAAATCAAGGAATAGATCTACCGGACCTACTTTATTTGGGGTTCCAAAAGACGTGTTGTAATTGCCCCCGCTCTTGTCTCCCTCGTTAGCAACGGTTCGTTACCCACTGTCTGTGTCCGTGACTGAAATTTTGAGCTTTCTTTCAACAGGTCTCGGTATTACAGCAATCTCGATCCAGCTCAACGGGAGCTTCTCTTCCCTTGTGAAAGGGAACTGGGTTATGGTGGCGTTTTTGGGAACCGTTGCCTTCACTCAGCTCTTGTTTACGTTCATGATAGGTGAGTCTCGTTAACTATTTGCAGTTCGTTGCTCTAATTACGACCGATCCATGTACGTTGGGTCAGCTGGAAGGATATGGTGGATATCCCATCACATCGGGCCTTATGGGAGCTCTGCCATGCGTAAGAACGTCAAGGCCATCGTAGCTATAACGTGCGCAGGTGATTTACAATTTCGAAGGTGGTTTTATCTTATTGAATACAGGTTGGAATCTGGGATACTCTATACCATCCTTCTTGTCGCTTATCAAATCCAAAATGGTGTTACTCCGATTGCCATCGACCTTGGACTTTACCCGATTCTTATCCAATTCGCCGTATGTCCACTGGTTTTCTTCGTGTCAACGAGTTTTTGTCTTCTGAACATGCCTTTTGATACTAGGGTATGTCGCCTACTCTCATAATCGTCCGTGCAGCACTGGGTATGAGCGTTGAATGGAACCCAGATGCGAACGGCGGGATACCATCATTTGCGATAACGGTGGATTGGAACACCGTAGCTCCCGCTTCTTCACCCGTTATTCCGGTCGATCTCCCTGCCTCCGGGTCCAGGTCCTCACTCCGTGATCCCGAACGCACACTTTCCACCAAATTGCCTCATAACCTTGACATCGAAAGGGTTGCCCCCTTCGTTGTGGTCGGGAAATAAATTATCAGTATGAAGCCCTGAATCTTAAGTATTTTATTCGGTATTTATTTTATCTCAACAGTGTACATAACCCACAATAAATCGAATGTACTAGTACGCGACACGCGGGTTTCTACCATGTATGAATATTACGGTGGCTTTTACTTCAGATGGCCCAAGTTTCTGGATACTCGCTAAGAACAAGAACATTGCTCAAACCTGTCATAACCTTCTCAGTCTTTTACTCGTGTTGCGAAGGTTTAGCGGAGATTGTGGAGGGTGCCGGTTTAGAAGTCGGTTTTGGGAATTTCTGATCCGTATGTTCGCACTGGGCAGTACTCGTGCTTGAGCAATGAAGTGAACGCTGTGGGAAAATAGCGAGGTGGAAATTGAACGGGCTTAGCCGATTTCTCATCCCTGACTCCTGTGCGGTTGCTCAGCCTGGACGGAAGGTGACCCTTCGACCTTCATAAACCTTCCCCTCGGGTTGGTTCCCTTCGCCAGTTTAACAATCGATTACTCTCCTTCCGTGGCTCACTAACAAGAACTCATCAAGATCGTCGAAAAAGTCAAAACCTGTGGGAGCGTTCTGGACGAGTTATGGGTAATTGATACGCTAATGTATTGATCTTCATATAAACACCGGGACTACCGAGACGGTGTTCGGTATATGTAGCAGAACTGAATTGGTCCACATGGAGATTGGTTTCACGCGGCAAGTGGTCCTTTGTTTCTATGCTTTGAACTCGATGTTGGGAACCCCCACTTCCCTTTCTTTCCCTCATTCCTCTCCCTTTCCGTTTCTTACTTTCATTACTCCCCTCCCTCTCTTTATTTAATTTCCAGCGGGCTGGGATGCGCTCGTCAGTCTGGGTTTATATTTGCCAGTCCGAATCTAATGATGCTCACTCCATCATCTTTCCAGAGAACTCAGCTTCCTGTCCCGGTTGACGTTTTCCTGCATTTTTGTGGTCTATCTTCTCCCGCTTTGGGTCTATGGGTTCTCAATCACCGCTCCATCCACTGTTACAGTGTCGGAGACGACGTTATTTAACTACTCGTGGACGTCTGACGATCCGGTGCAGCACGTCAGTGTTGCAATTGCATTGTATGATTCAAGGAATGGTGGGATTGGGTCTGATGGTGGGGGGAGCCTTGAGGATTTCAAGCAGCTCAATCTGAATAGAAGTGAAGGGTCTGATGCGATAGAGTTAGCTGTGAAAAGAACTGGGTGAGTTCGACCAGTTATTTGTTCAAAAATGACTCATGAAGCCCTTATCTCTTGGTGCGCAAAGGGAATTTTATCTCCAAGGCTATACCTTCGAAGGGCAGAACCACGGTAACGGCAAAGGAAAATTTCGAGCGCTCGCGAATTCAAGCAATTTTAATGTCGTGCTTCCAACTCCTCTGACTACAACTGTTGTTTCAACATTCTTACCCATCTCTACTAATTTGACGTCTCCGTCTGATCCTATTGATCAAACTGGTGCAGAGGGGGTGTCGAAACGGTGTGTCAAACCTCTAGCTTCCGACCTTTGAGCATTATCCTCACTTGTCCTTCGTTTGCAAATAGACCACAGTCGAAAATCGCCTTATCTAGAGGAGCGATAGCCGGAATAGTGATTGGAATCCTTGCTTTCTTGTTTCTGGTAGTGGCAGCGATACTCTTATACCGGCGAAGGAGATTCAAACAACGAGTGGATGATTTCTATGCGGACAGAATGATTGCGTTTAGCACTCCGATATCTCAAGTCAGCTTTTGGGCTAGGGATGATAGGAGCTATTCGGAAGGATCCTCGATAACATCAAGTCCGAGAGGTTTTGGAAAGGGTTTTTTTTCGACTTCACCGGTTTATGGAGACAACAAACGTTTCTCGTTGCAGGAGCCCCCCCGGTTATCGCCCCTGAGGGGCGCTGGTTATTCCTGACTTGCTGTTCATATTCTGGAGTGTCAGAGTGGTTGAATTAGTCTTCAAAAATTTGTACATTAGCTGTCATTCATCGATGTTTTCCTGACCGAGCCGCACAGGGCGTAGTTGAGACATCTAATCTAATCTCGGTCAACTCGGACCAGCCATGAATGCATGACGCCTGCACGCAGATTTTTCCCACACCGCTCCCTTCTCTTCTACGCTCCCAACTAGTCGCTCTTAATCGCGGAAAACTAACCCTTATCATCAATTTCGGAGTCTCAGTGTTGGACGTGGGTAAGAAAGAGGCTGCGATAGTGCGTAAGCGCTCCCGTTCATTAGCGTTGTA